AATGAGATCTAAATATTCTAAGAATTTTATATCTCAAACAACAATTAGAGAGTGTCATAGATACAAAATTTTAGACTAAAGCCACTTTTGTAACAACATGTAAAAATATATGAATTACGCTATAACAACTAACAGAGGAAATAAGTTTTATAACCAATTTGCAAAAAGCAGCATATTTGACTATGTAAAGGGGCTCTAAAAATATTGAAAATTTTAGACATTAAACCAGACAAGAAAAGGAATATCTATACAAAATTTCATGTAAAGACCACATACGCACAAATAGATAAAAATCAACCAATTAAGCTATTAGGAAGATGGAATTTCAATTTGCTTAAAATGAAGAATCCCAAAACGTCACTTGATGTCACATGTCCCCTTACAAATTTCTATATAGATTTCCAAACTTTCCTTTTCCTATAAGGCCTTAAGGTGATACACAAAGGGGAATATATTCAATATTAAATTTTCAACAAATAATAGGAAGAAAGAGAATTACAAGTGATCTTCCAAAGTGCAATATTTCATATAGGAGGCTTAAAAGATACAACTATTAACCAATCACTTATTGATAGAACCAGGAGGATAAAATTAACTGTTAGTGCAACTACTCCTCATGGAATCAAAACAAAAGGCAATTAAGAATAGCACAACCCCAATAATCTATAAGCCAAAACTCCATCCATCTATTCTACAGCGTACATGCACATAAAATCCATCATAGCACTACTAAGTCTTAAAGCAGAAAATATCATCCAAACCTTAAACAATAATCTCATGGTTGAAAATTCTCAAATGATAGCTAAAGAATTTTTTTCAACATTCAAACAACATCACCATGACTCAAGCTTCCTTAACTCCAAAATTAAAATTAAAAACAGGAATCAAGGACAAATATTTCAAATCTATCAACATAGGTAGATTTAAGAACCTATTAGGCTACTTCTCCCACCTTCCTCGTTGCCTTGATTTGTTCCTCTTCTATGAGTGCTTTGATTGTTCTTTATTGGATCTCCATGTTCTTCATTTTCCCCCATTTCTCTGTCTCCTTTATTTTGTTTGTTCTTCATCTCCCTCCAAAAAAATCTCTCTCTATCTCCCCAAATTTTTTTCACTCTCTTGAAACTTTATTACTCTCTCCAAACTCAAACTCCTTTCTAAAAATCAACTCTAAATCTCTCTCGCACTCTCTAAACTCAGATCATCCCCCTAGCCTCCTTTCACATCTCGAACTCCCTTCTTTTATGGAAGGTGAATAAGATATATGGATTGCATAAATCTATAAAACCTGACCTGATTCAGCCTTCTCCTTCATCACATGGCATCAGATTTCATCTACAGAGCCACTTTTCTTCAACATATGACTCTGGTCTTTCCTCTTTTTATTAAACTTTGCCATCCAGAAAGTAAAAGTAGAGAAGGGTTTGTTGGAACTTGCGTATAAGGATATAGATGTTTGTGTACCTAACTTTACATTCCAACCTCTCAGATGTGACCTTAGATGATCTAGGGCTACTTCTCTTCTCCTTTCTGCGTTCATGCATGCGTTTCTTCTCTTCTATACTTACCACATCTGGTTAAAGGCTTTAGGGTGAGTGAAACAGTCTCCCTTATTATTATCATTTTATTTTTAATTATCAATGTTTTTTAGATTTTTTAGGTATAAATATATTATTTATTTTTTACGTGAAACAACCATATCTAAAAGAATTTAAAAGGATTTAATTTTCAAGAAGTTGATTCTTATAATTTTCTAATTGTTGAGATAATTTGGTGAAAATATTTAATCAATATTTTTCCTTCCATTTTCAAAATTGATTCTAAAGACAAATTAATTTATTTATCTTCTTTATTTTTTATTTGAAAAAAAAATCCTTAAAAAGGATTAACTTTCAATTTTTTATATTTATTTATTTTTGAAAATTAGCTCTTAAAAAAAGAATTAAATTTTATTTTTGTATTTTTATATTTTTAGGTTGTTTTAACTAACTAAAAGAAATAAAATCCTATCCAATAGAAAATTATCAAGGTTAAAATGAAATTAAACTCTATTAATTAATTTTTATCTATATTATTAAACTTTTATTTTTAGTTAAATTTATTGTATTTAAAAATATTCGGACAAAATACAATATTCACACACTTCATCCATTTAAAAATGTAAGGAGTTTTTTGAGAGGTTGGATGTTAGAAAATGTAAGATATTTTTAGTATTTCAAAGTGTAATTAATTTTTTTTTTGCAAAATACAATATTCACACATTCCATCTATTTTTTTTGTAAGACATTTTAAAGTGAAACACTTCGTTAAATAGAGATAAATGTAAAAAGAAGTTGTTAGCTTGAAAACATTAACTACCTTACATCTTTTAAGGAGAAATATATAGAGCTGGAAAAATGAATAGATCCAACCCTGTAGGACGAGCTCTTGTCGAGCTTGGGCCTTAAAGGAACAACCCATTTAAGTCCACTTACCCTTGAGACCCGTTATATACTAAGCTTAACTCTCAACATAATGGGTTTAGGATTGACTTATGGGCTTCGAGCCCTTTTACTTTTTTTAAAAAAAATTTCAATCTAACTTGAAATACTTATGAGCTTAAACAGGTTTAGAAAGTTTAGTTTAAAAATTTTTTACATGAAAAGTTTTTAAAAAATAGATGCAAGTTTGAATGGATATCATTTAATTTATTTGAGCTAACTCATTTAAACTATTTAAAATGAGGCCCATTAAGGCTTGCCCGTGTAAGCTCATTTAGCAATTTTAAAATTCTATATGTAAGCCCCAATTTTTTTATCAAACGTGCTTAAATGAGTCTTGCTCTACATGATATATATTTCAAAAAAAAAACAGAGAGGAGTATCTGTTTTTTCTTTTGTTTTTTTAAAAAGGAGCATCACAAGACAGAAAGGTGTCGTATATTCAGATGGCAAGGTGCTGTTTGTAGAACACGTGGCGTGTGCAAAGGCAGCACACGCAGTCACGTGACTGGATTTGCATGCTGCCATTTGGTCACTTCTACATGCACCTTTGCAACTTGCCTACCTTACAATCTACGTCTTCCCCCTCTCGCTTTTGTTATTCCTTCACTTGTCCCTTGCCTCTTCATTTTTTCTTTCCTTTTTTTTTTACCATCTAGAATTAAAATTGTAGAGTAATTAAATAATACTAGTACAAAATTTACAGTACAAAGTTGATCATCTTCACAGTTTTTAAGAATAATAATTAGTATCTTTAAATTTGTAAAAAATGATTAACTTGTCAATTTTACTCTTCACTAAAATTAAGGATCACAATAAAAACATGTCTAAAAATTACAACTTGATGCAATTAAGAAGAGATAATATCAACAAAAAAGAATAACTTCTACATCTTTCATGAATGAGTGCATATTAACGAGGAGAAGGGAAGAGAGATAATCATAAAAGTACTAATAGTAAAGATAGGTACTAAGTTTTTCTTTTTTCTTTCTTCTTTTTTTGAATTAAATGGGCAATCACTGATGGTTTGTGGTTACCAACAGGATTACACCCTCGACCATCCACTTAAAAGGAGCTTACATACCTATTTAAGCTAAACTTATGTAGGTAAATCTAGTCATTTGTCAATAATCTTTGGTGAAATCATGGATTTCAAGTTCCATCATGCAGGCCCAAAATTTGGGAGGTGTTTAAAAATACTGGGGGCTAAAATAGGCTTTGCTTGCCTGTTTGTTGGATGGGTGTATTGTGTGCAATGATGTAAAACCGGACCGAACCGAACAGTCCGACCGGTCTAACTGTCACCCGCTGAACAAAACGGTTCGGTTCAACTAATTGAACCAATCTGACCTTTGACCTGGGTTGACTCGGATTGAATCAGTCGGTTTTGAGAGAACCGACGTTGACCGGAAACCCGGTTCAAAGCCAAAAAAATAAAAAAAAAAAGAAATTTAGGCTGAGTTGCTTAGATTCACAATTTTTCTTCTCTAATCACTAATTCTCTCTTTTCTTCTCTTCTCTAATCTCTAATCTCTCCTTCATGGCCTAAATTCAATCTCTAATTTCTCCTCCAACATCTGCCTCCAACTTTAAAATTCAACCTTTAGCATCGAGATTGAAAGCTTGTTAATCATGATATGACGACATGCCTCCAACTCCAACATTTTCCTTTAAGATCACAAACTTGTACTAACATGCCTCTACCTCTAGCTCCAACAATCCAAGCATCTAGCTTTTGAAGTCGAAATTCCAAGCACCATTGACAAATTAATGTTTTATTTATATAATTGCACATATAAATTTTATTTTTTATGTCATCGGTTCGACTGTCGGTCTAATCGGTTGGACCATAAAAACCACAACCCGTTGCTCTTTCCGGTTCGATGTCCGGTCCGAGTTTCAAAACATTGGTTGTGTGTCCCCTAAAGGTTCAGAGAGAATTAAAACCCAAAAAAAAAAACAACAATGTTTTTAACCTTTTTCTTTTGTCCGGATGTTCCAGAAATGGCTGTTTTAGTGTTTTAAATGTGTAACATTTGACAACCACAGCAACAAAGATGGTGATAATTTACAAGCAGATTCTATACATACCCAAAGTAAGTTTATTATATAAATATCAAAAGTATTATTAAAAAGACATGTCAAATAATTAATATATGAATAATGTTAATTGCTAATTGCCTTCTAAGGAAAATTAGCAGTACCTTTGGAAAAAAAAATAGGAGAAAATTCTCTACTCTTCCTTTCCCAACCTCTTTCCCTCCTTTTCTTTTATAACCACGAGATTAACATCTTAAAAATCTAGATTTGATATCATACAAAATATTTTTTGATTTTTTTTCACTACAATTTTAAACTGTTCAAATTAAATTTTAACAACTTGAATGGTTGGTACATATGCCATGAAACTTGCTATATTTAATTTGGACGTGCAAGCAGTTCTAGACATTCTTTAGAAAATGAGGGAAGACAATACACACACACACACACACACACACACACACACACACACACAGACAATTAATCGCAACACAAATGAATAAATTATAACGACATCACGATCCATTATGGTGATGCTCAAACCTATTATATAGGTGTACAAATTCACAAGTCTAGTCGGTTTTGTTATCAACCTAATTTTTTCCCTTCAGTAATGCTGCTTTTTTTGCGAATATTAGACATTACGGTTTACTCCGTTTGAAGTATTTGAACCTGTACACATGGATGAAGAGCATGCTTCCTAGTCCAGTTCATAATTCTAAGCTAATGAATCGGTCAACTGAACACGCGTGACCTCAAGTTCACATTGAGGGCAGCAAGTCAGGATCAGATGGTTGCAGGCTTTCAATCTTCCCAAAATTTGCATTGTCCAGGGGTTACGACCGGACGAAACCGTCCGTTTTCATCCAGAAAAGCAATAACTGACACCTGATAAATCACAAGATCGGGAAGACGCTGCAAAACAACATCATTCAATTACTAGTAAGGTGGATCCACCATTACATGTTTTTCATTGCACTCCTAAACATGGTCTTAGATTTCACTTAAGCAAAAATCTCTTGTTTTATTTTAGGTACCCTTCGGACTGATGAACTTGGATTTTACATTTAAAATTTCATATTTCAAATCTCACTTCTAAAATTCATGCATTTAAAATTCTTTTTCTGGATAGTTTAAAAAATTTTAAATGAAAAAAAAAGAGTTAAGATTTGAAATGAAACAAAACAATTAAGATTGATTATTCACCTCTATTTTTCAATTCACAAGAAATGAGAAAAGACATAAAGTCATAGAGTTGTCACAAACAAAGAGCTCAAGATTTGAAATGATTGAAATTTCAAATGAATAGGGTGTGAAAGAATTTGAAATTATAAAAGAATTATAATAAGAAATAGATCAAATCCAAATTTATAATTTGTGTATCCAAATGAGAGATTCCCATGAAGACAAATTTGTTAATTCTCATGAACCAGGTAAATCAACATCCACAAGAACCCATTATCTTGTAAAAGAGTTTATTCCAAGTCCACAAATAACAACTCTGAATAATTACGTTGTGTCAAAGTTCAGTTTATGTTCATGAGTTACAGAATTAAGTTCTTGAACATGCATATTATGTATTTGTGTCATGACTTACAATCTTGCAAGCACAAAATAAATTTCAATTATAACAATACAAAAAAAAAAAAGAAATACATACAAACAAATTTTGAGATGCATGGGAGATATACTTACTTTCAACTTCAACTTGTAAAGTGCCTTACGAAAGAAACTCTGACGAACTCTTATATCCTTATTTGGTGCCGTATATATTCGTCTTACTCCTTGGATTTTCATCCCGCGAATGCCTTCGTCAAACACTGCAGGAAGAATTTTCTTTATATTTAATTTTTCTGATCAATATGTCCATTTCATGTTTGGGTTTTGGTGTATGCTAATTCGAAGATGCTTACCCAGGACATGAAGAAAAGCAAGAAGACATAACCCCAGAAGCAATACATAATACTGATAAACTATTTTACGATAAATTACAAGTAATATCCTTCTAATCATATCTCATCAAACACATTAAACTTCTACATAATATGTGAGTTCGTTTTAAGAAATTTTAGTCATTCTTTAGCACAATAAATTAATAGGCTTGTACAAGAAACTAACAAGTCTTACTAAATACAGAAATAAAGTCATCATCTGACATTTTATGTTAAGATATTTTTATGGGGAAAACTAATTTAAAAAATGTGTTGCTAAAGAAATTATTAGATATTTTAAAATTAAGAAAGGTACTGAGTTTAATTTGGCAAAAGACCTCTTAATTAACATTCCTAAAAACTAAGTAAATAACATAACACAATGATGTCGTATAATCTATATAACTGACTCTACCTAGTGGGATAAGGTTTGTTATTATTGTTGTTGTGTTTGTTTCAATGTTTTAATATACCCATGGTGATGACGATGACAAAGATTTGATATCACAGACAAGATGCAACACAGACCTGAGCCATATTTTCCAGTACCCAAAGTAAGTTCCAGAGGACCACCATAGTCTTGAAGGAATCCTTCCTTGTTAAAAACATGGTACATGAATGCAACCTACAAACCACGAGAATATTATTACAAATCCAAGCCAATTAATTAATTAACACAAGAAATAAGTTATTAATATTGTTGGGAAAAAAAATGGTTATTGGTACATCTGTGGTGAAACTTGTTATTTGTTCCTGCAAGCAGTAATAAATATTATTTACAAAATGAGTTAACATAATATATACTGATATCTAACTCAATACAAATAAATAATTATAAAAACCCCACAATCAATTCTTGAAAGTCGAACCTAATATAGTAGAGGTGTAGAGCTTCACAAGTTAACATGCTCCATGCATTTTTATTCTCATAAAGATTGATTAAATTTTATAAAAAAAAAAGGGTCAATATTAAACTATGTACATACATGTAGAAGAAATCATGCAATTTCTTTTTCATTGACTGATAGCAATGGACTAGAACAAAATTGTGTTAGCTAACACAAGTTATTTAATTAAAAATCAAAATTAGAAGCAAATATTAAGGTAACTAAACACACAGTCCTTATTAAAGGTAAATTGTGGTGATATTGTACTTATTGTAAATATTCTTCTCTCTCTACTGGGAGTTAATAGCCACTATTATTAACTAAATAGTCAGGTTTTGCAGGTCTAATCTGATAACAAACTTCTTCCTTTCTAGATATTGGTGCCAATGTTGCACAGCCAGCACCACTGCCATCAACTCTTCTCATAAATGAGAGATTTTGATGTCTTTCAGCCAATCCCTTGCTGTGGGGAAAAAAAACAATTGGCTGTCCTTGTTGCTACGCATAACAATGATTCTCCTGTAGTATTGTGAAGAACTTCTTCAAGTGCTACACATAATGATCAAGATTAGAGCTATAAATCAAGGCATCATCAAAGAAAACTAAAACAAACATAAGGTTTAAAGATGCCGCTCATGGCTTCCTTGAAAGGTTGCTGGTGCATTAGTTAAACCAAATGTCATCACCAACTAGTCAACCACTCATAATGTTCGTTATGCATCTTAAAAGTTGTCTTGTGGACATCCTCAGGCACCATTCTAATTTGATGATACCCAACTCTCAAATCAAGCTTGGTGAACCATCTTGCAGCGCTCAATTCGTCAAACAATTCTTCAACCAGTGGAATGGTAGACTGGTTCTTCATGGTCTTCTTATTCAACTCCCTATAGCCAATGCACATTCTCCAAGTGCCGTCCTTTTTCTCGACTAAGACTATATAGGAGCTGAAAATAGGGAATAACTCTCTTGAATCACCCCAGTTTGCAACAATTCTCCCATCAACCCTTCAATGACATCCTTTTGAGCCGAAGGACATCTATAAGGCTTCAAACTGATGGGATTTGTGCCTTCTTGAAGCACTAGAGGGTGATCATGGCCTTTTCTGAATGATGGCAGCCCTTTTGGGTCTTCAAAGGGGTCTGAAAACTCTTGCAGAGTGCTGTAAACTGCCCTCTGGAGCCTTGTTGCAGGTCTGGACAGAAAAGCACTGAACCTTTTCTTGGTTTTTTTGTCACTAATTGCAACAAGAATACTTGTTCTTCTTGCAGATCCCAAATTTCCATATTCTTGGATTGCACAACCATCAACATGTCGGGAGGGGCAATACCAGAAAAACATAGGCGGTTTCTATAATCCCAAAAAGCATTTTTATTACTTTTGAACCATTTAAGGCCCAATACTATATCATATGTATGCAACTCAAGAATTCAAAAATCAATTGTAAATCCAACCCTGCATCCTCCATTTGAAACTCTTCCAAATCCCATAAACATTGAGTTTTCTTCCTCCATCTACCTCAACCCAAGATGCATTTGTTCCATCAGGCTACCAAGTTTCTTGTCTAATTCAAGGTCCAACAAATCACATGTACTACAGTTGTCAAGACTCAATGGTTCCATCGAGCTGCCAACCAAGTTTCTCAGCTAATTCAAGGTCCAAGAAATCATGTGTACTTCTGTTGTCAATCAGAATTTGCAGCTGTCTTTTCCCATAATTCCCTGTAACTCACATAGAAGAAGCTCCCTCGAGCTGCCAGCCAAGTTTCTTGGCTAATTCAAGGTCCAAGAAAGCATGTGTGCTGTTGTCAATCAGGATTTGCAGCTGTCTTTTCCCACAACTCCCTGTAACTCACATAGAAGAGGCTCCATAAACACCTTCAATCACATGCAATGAGATGAGAGGTCTATCATCATCATCTTCTTCTTCAATTATTTCTTCCAAACTGAAATCTTGATTGTCCTCCAATTTAATAAGCTGAAGCTGCATTTTCTGTCATTGAGGACATTTATGATCTCTTGAGAACTTGCCATGCCAATAGAAACACAAATGCTTTGATCTAAGCTCTGCCTCTTCCTCTGCAGTCAAGGTTTTCACGTGAGAAGCAGAATTCTTATGCAAAGAAGTATATTTTTGAGATAAAGAAGCCGACTTCCCCTTTGTTAACGCATTCTTGTAGCGTGTACAAGAGTTTTGATGAAAAGCTTGATTATTGGTGCTGGCCGATGCTCGTTGTGCAATCGCACGTTGCTGTTCGGCTTTCTCAACCTATCTTTGCAAAGAGATCTCATGCATATGTGCAAGGCCACAGGCTTCTCTCATGGTTCTGGCTTAAGGAGGCGTACTAGGCTCACAAACCCTTCTTGAAGCCAGCTATTTATGCATCAACCTTGAAGTCAAGTAACCTCAATTTATAAAAAAAACTTGATCGAACTCATTGTTGTAGTCCGCTAAACTCCCATGCTGCCGAAGACGCATAAGGTCATCCATGGGAGCTCCATGCACAGGCACGAAGCATTCTTTGAAGAGTTCTCCATATGCGACTGATTAAGCTGAAGAATTAAAAAAGAGTTATATATCATTTCCTAGGGGCTATGGGAAGGGAAAGGGTGTAGAGAAAAGCAACACCAGTGGACTAAAGAATTATCCTCCAATAGAAAAGAGAATTAGCCAAAGGTTCCCAGCCTTAGGGGAAAAAGTGACGTATGAATAGGAATTAGGTGCAGCTAGGACTCTATTCAGCCTTTTGTAACTTTTTGGGTCTGTAAATCTTTCCCTCTGGCTGGAAAGAAGGGTGCGAAGTATTTTAAATATTCAGATTGGTGAGGAGAGTTATGGCCTCTTGAAAGTCTAGTGTATTGGGGTGGAAGAAGTCATCTTTCTTCATCGTTTTATCTTCTGCATAGTGTGTTTGTGAGTGGCTAATGGCTTATGCTTGTGTTACCGTTTTGTGAGTGCATTTTGTGCTGTCCCTGTAACTATAGTTTAAGTGTAGTGTATGAGGGATATGAGTTTGGCTCGAATCATCATTATCCTTGTAATCAAACATTGTTATTTAGCAATAGTATTTTCAATCCCATTTGTTGTGTATTGTTTTGGTTTTCTGCTAATTTTAAGTTTTAGAGGAGAGGGTTCCATCAGCGACCCAGTCAGGTTCATTCCCTTCTTGCGACGCCTCACATGCCATATGCCATTGAAACGCTATATCATCAAGATGCATACTTGCCATCTGGACCTTCGATTCTTTTGGTATGTTGTCAAGTTTAAAAGAGACGCTCAAACTTTCAAGCGAGCGAAGAACATTGCTTCTTGTGAGTATTGGAAACTCCATTATTGTGAACTATGTTAGTCGTCGATAGTCATCATGCTAGTAGCCATCGTGTCCACTCTGCCCATTGCGTCCTTTATTCCCATGGTTTGAGAAGCCTTGCTCTTTGTCACGCATCAGCAGCTGGAATTAATTACCATCTCTGTCAAGATATCAACTTGCCCTTTGTTCAATTTTGTTGATTCTGTCAATCATTGCACGTTGAGTCTTCGATCTTGTTTCTACCACCATAAACTTCTGAATCAGAGTTGTGTTTGCCAAGGACTAGCCTGGCTCTAGATACCACTGTTGTAGGTTTATAACATGAGAGAGAGAGAGGAGAGAGAGAGGTGCATAAGAGAAGAGAAGGTTGAGAAAGACGAGAGAGAGCAGAGAGAGAGACTAGAGAATTCTGAAGAATGCTCTGAATATTACTGATATGAGATAATGAAATTGATTTACATAGGTATATATAGCCCTCTAATCCTATGATTGCTCACCTAACGCCCTTACCCCTTCTAACGGCTAATTACTCCTAAAGTCACTAGCTAACAAACAATAACAGTAACAAACATTCAATATTACAATTATACAACAAATTTCCACGTAAACCTTCTTTTTGAAGGACAAGGCCCTTTTTTTTTTTTTTTTTCGGTAGAGAAGGAGAGAGAGTTACCCTATCTCCATCTGCAGCGATATCTTCACCAAGGCCATATAGAACGTCCACTATATCTGCATAGATAAGTGTAAGCAGAATGAATCCTACATCATGCCTTTCTTTATGGTTCAAGGGAGGAACATATATACATAATCCTCTATATGCATGACACTGGATGCTATAAATTATAATTCTTTTGACAAAAATATTCGTAGCTAAAAAGTGTATTATATTTATCCAAATTGATCAAGTTATATTAATCTCCAAAGAAATAAAATTACTCTATGAACAAAAAAATAAATTGAAAAAAAAGGGCAACCTCAAGTGTTAGTTTAATCTAGTAATTTGGGCTTTATCTTTTAAATTTAGTATTCATATAGAGCTCGATAGATCATTTTAGTTTTTGTTTTTCTTTTAATAAAATTGATATTGTTGAACGAGACCTCTTAATTAACAATATTTTTAAAGACTGGATTGATGATAAAGTATAATAATATCATGTAACTCATATAGTCAATCTTACTTAATAGAATAAGGCTTGTTTTGTTGTTTCCTCTTATAAAATAATGAAAAAAACTCAAGCCCAAAGATCAATTGACACTAGGCCTTAGTGGGGGAAAAGAATCATGATACCCTAGTTGGGTGGGCTGGGCATAACAGACAAGACACGCCCACATGACATTAGCTCACATTATTTAAAGTGCTTTGATTTTTTTAATTAAAAAATTGTGGGGATAATTTGAATTATTTGAACTCTATAAGGACAGAATATAACATTTCAAGAACTTGTAGGGAGATTTTATTTTCCTGTGTCTTTATATAAATTTACCAAAAACTTTTAGAGAGAGACCTAACCAATATGAGAAACCAACTCATCCCGACTATAGTCAATAATATGAAGTGAGAGCCAATACATAGCTGGACCCAACCAGTCACACTCATAAAAGAGTTATAAGCATTTTACAATAATTATTTTAAAATGAAAAATCATTTAAAGCTTTTAGAAAGATATAATAGGACTAAATACAAGCAAAACATTAATATTAAATAAAACTTATTTAAAATTAAATGGTATGTTGCAAAAAACCTCCTTGAATTTTGATCCATGCAATTAACATCCTAGACTTTTATTATCATTGACTATATAACATCTTAAACTTTTTTTTTTTTTTTAAGGGCACAGATATGGTCTTTAAATTTTGAGTTACGTGCAAAAATGAAACAATCTCTCTAAATTTAACTCACAGACACTAATCAGATTACATTTGGGAGCAAATCTTCTAAATTTGAGATCCGTGAATTTTTGTGAAGTTTTCATTTTTTTGATATTATCCTCATTTTATTATTTTTTATAAAACAAAAAATCTTCTCTCTTCCTTAAAAAGGCAAACTTCATAAAATTCATGATTCTCAAATTCAGAGGATCCATTTCCCATTACATTCTATGAGTGAAATAACATGCAAACTAACAACGGAGTTCTAAATAAATTTAAAAGTTTTGCGGAAAACATAAATTGGCACAAGCATGATACAAATGAATTGGTACAAATATGATACACATAATTTACCCAAAACTAAACTATAAAAACAAAACTTTCCCAAAAAGAGAACTAATAATTTCTCATATGAAAACTTGCCAAATGAAAATTGAGAAAACTAAAAATAACATTTAAGTTAGAGACAAAATATGAAAATAATAAGACTTACTTTCTTTACCAGTTCGATTCGGCACTGGCGGGGACATCATCTTAAATGACATGTTCTTAATATGCCCTGTATTGAGAGACAAATATATATATATATATATATATATGGAGGTCAATTAACTAGAAATTATAGCCACAATAAAAGTAGAAAATGTGCAAATCATTATCATAACCCGTTGTAATATCATTTATTCTTTATTTCTCCAAGAGGAGGAAATAAATGAGAATTTCTTAATTCATAGGATAAACTGTATCTATATAATAATGAAAACACCAACAAGCTGCACAATTTACAAATCTATATATTAATGTCAAATCTGAGCAACCAAACATGTTTCTTTTTTTGATATATAAAAAAAAAAAGAAATCAAACATGTTTCTTCTAAACCTTCTCCAGGTAGTAGGAAAACTTTCCCATAATCAAAATCCGAACACTTTCAAGCTACTCTCCCGGCAGAAGAAAATAAACCAAGCTTTCCTTGCTAGTTCATCATCAAATGTTTATAGAGGTTCTCTAGCATGTACAACTGAATATAGTAATTCTAATCTGCCATGTGAAAATGCATAATGTATACACAACGAATCATGAATAAAATAATAAATATAAATTTACATAACCTTCATATAAATACTCTGAAAAATTGTGTTACAAGAGGAAAAACAGAAATAAAAATAGCAACCATTTTATACATTATGAACAGATACCCTAGGAAATTGCAACCAATTGCCAAAAAGCACACGCCTTTTGCTTGAGAATGGCGCGAGCACTTGAGTGAACCCATCGCCTCTCTTCACGAGGCGATGAGACTGTTCTGCATCTCACCTCAGCGCCTAAGGCACAAAAGCGAGTGCCTTTAACAACACTGCCAATACTTCAAATTCGAATTCCCCTTTGAATTCAGTACCTTGGCTGATGAACCAATTGCAAGAAAAAGGTCCTACTCAACTTTCTAGAAATGTTAAATTCAAATTTGTCCACAATGATCCAAAGCTTTAAAGGAATCTTATATGCAAAATATCTCTCATGATCTAAACAAATTTGGATCCCCCTCTGGTCACCACAAGGGAAAATAATGATAGAGAAAGTGAGAAAGCGGTCGTATCACAGATAGGAAATCGTCTTCAGCTTAAAGTTGATTACTACAATTAAAAATGAGTTTATTGGCTATGTGTCAAATGGCCCAAACAAAAAAGATTTATGTGACCATACTGAAAACGAACCGTGTTTTATAAAAATCATCTTCCAAGGGAAACTTTGGGCATATGAGACATGCTTTTGCAAAAGTATGAATATAAATGACATAACCCACTTCCAATCTTAGCCGCAATGGAGCCAAATATTCAGGATACTAGTAACTTTTTGCCCACTCCAGATACCTCTTTTGACAGATGGAGAAACGCCACAGTCAAATACCAAGCTCCTAATTTATTCTCAAAGTAACACAAGGAAGGAAGATTGCACAGCAATTCCGACTTACTATAAACTGAAATCTTCAATGACCCTTATAAAACAATCTATAAATTCAATATTTCTGTAGCCTTAAAAAACCAAGTTCAGTTTCATCCTGTAATCACCCTGAAAATTTGAGATCAAAGACATACGCCCATTAAAATGCTTTTGAGGAGTTCAATTCATTAGATAAAATCCTTCGTGACAGAAATTAAACATGGTGAAGTAGATAAGCACTTCATCGAACATAAAATAAAAAGATGTGTTTATTGCTTCTCTACATGAAATCAAATTAAATAAATATTGATTAAGGGGCTCAATAAGAATTTTAACAGACTAATAATTAATAATGATGAATCGATTCAGGGAATACTTCATCGCCGTTTCCTTTATCCTTCTAATCTTATTTTATAGCAGAAAAACACTCAAGACGGTGAATCAGGTACACAGAATTGTGTTTAATAAATTAAATATTCTATCCATGATACGAAAATTTATATCTACAAGAGATTAAACGAATGTGGCTCCAACACGTTTGGTTCTTCTTGGTGCTTCAATTTTCCCAAACAGAGGAGGCAACCATCAGATTTGCAATTTCATCAAGGCGTTAAGAGGAGCCTATAGATGGATGAAAGGGGTTGCTATCGAGAGAATGAAGAAGACAAACCGATAAGAGAGGGCAAACTTACGTGGATGAAGACGGCAGAAGAAACGCCGAGGAACACCGGAGAGACTAATTAGCGAGAGCGCACACAAAAACGGAGAACCGGCGAAAGAGCAGAATTGGAACTCTGGTCTGATGAACTGTATCAGGACTGCATGCAAATGATTGAATGGCACTGAATTTCAACCTAACTCAGAGCCTGATTTAGGATTGAACAAGGCAATTTATAATCTAGTCTGATCCAGTAATAACCTAAAGATTAACCGACCTGAATTTGGATCATAGGAATGAAAGACTGATTTTATTAGTCCAATACTTATTTAATTTTTTTTTCTTTTTTCCCTATGAGAGGCAATAATTCATTTCAATTTAATAAACTCAATTAAGATAATAAAAACACTCATAATCATAATAAATCTATAATAATTTCTAACATAAAAAAATATTTCAATTACAATATAAATAATTTAAATTTATAACTTCAACAAAAACAGCATTCAAGAAAGTTTAACAACACTATATTATAATAATAATTTAAAAACAAACTTAACAAATTTTCATGCAGTATCAATTATACTTGAAGCATTTTTCAAAAATAAATTATATACACATATATAAAGTGATTAGTAAGTGTAAAAATATAATATATAAATTGAATTAAGAGACATAAAATAAAAAAATATTACCTACAACATTAACAACATTGTCAATCTCTTGAAAATTGTCAAACTCATCAAGCCTAGAGACAAACTCTGAGAGAGATTGTCCTGCAACTAGCCAATTATGGGCACAAATGAGTGCTTCAGTCATCTTAAGAGATAAAGAACTCCTATAATAATCAACAATACATCTTCTAATGCTAAAAGCTAATTCAGAGATAATTGTAGATATTGGTATAGCCAATACATCTTGTGCTATTACTCTATACTTGGTAGAATTAACCTTCCACCATATCAAGATATCAAAAGTATCATCATCATCATCATCAATAGGGATATCTTCAGATGTATTAGCAAAAAGGTATATATCCACCTCTAATTGGGTATTAACTAATGAGCTTTTTTGCTTCTAGGATGCTAACCATCTACAACTTGTAATGTTCGCTTTGACATTATCAGAACAACACTCATATATCATTGAGATAGCTAAGATTAAATAGAATCCCCTACTAAAGCTATCACAACTCAAGGGTTTGAAGATATTTAGTTTAAAACATTAAGATCCTAAGAATTTTTTTTTAAATATTGTTTGAGCTCAAACTATAGTTAAAAAAATCAATTTATAACAAGTACGAAAGCATGAAAATCAAACCACGTCAAAATTAGCTAAAAATGCCATTTTTCAATAAATACTGGTTTGTCTGCCGAGGTGGATGGCATAGAGGAATGAATCCCTCGAAGGCCTCTTGTGTCGCAGCGCAACAATCACGTGCCGCGACATGGACCTACTGTCATGGCTTCTCTCCGAACTTCTAGAGCATGCCGTTTCACCATCCAACATTCGATTTCAGCAATTTAAGTGTCTACATGAAGCTCGTTGAGTCCTCTAGCTAATGGCACCAGTTTCACACTTAAATAATTATTCGTTTAAAAGATGGACACCTAAATCCAAAATGGTTCATTTTCACAACGAAACACACACTATGGTGTCCAACTCACAATATCAAATGCTATTAGCCCCAGAGACACCTTGACTACTTCAAATAGACTACACACCACATAAAAATTCAATTATAACACCCAATTGAGCATTTTCATTCAAAATGACCATTGAAACCTCAATTTACAACAACATGAAAGGGTGGATAAATTCTAACACACATGTCACTTGGTCATTTTGGCACACAAAACACTTAAAATATATATCACATGTAAGCAACTTGGCCAAGCACACACTTAATCCGCAACATCAATCTTAGATCAAGACATACATACTTATCACAAGATTCACACAAGTAATATCCAAATAATGTCATGTTCTTAAGTTGGTAATATTTAGTGACAATATTTGTTATAATACCCAAAAAGAGAAAGGAAAAAGCTATATAATGATGCTCTTCACTCTTTAAATGCCCATTCTTTCCTTTTGCCCCTACTGGAGCTTTCACTTGTAAAATTTAACCACGAGGTGAGATAAATATCTTAGTAACCAATATAGTTCATCAAATATTTATTATCACAAATAACCATAAAAAAGTATTAAAACTATAGTAGTAACAACCATACTATAATTATGAGATAAGTATATCTTTTCACAACAAAACACATAGTTTCACACTAACATGATCATCTAACTACTAAACCTCCAATACTCCCCGGCATGAAACCATAAGCTCTCTTGGATCAATTGCTTGTTAACCTGAGCACACTTTTAATGGTAGAAATACCCGGCCAAAGGTAATCTAACTTGCCTACGGACTATGGTTTTTTTCCTCTTCACACACTTGTGATAAAGGCATCATTAACTCCTAACCACACCCTAATGGGCACTAAGGAGTTGCCAGACTGTCCGGATGTCTTATGATAACAGTTTCACATAATGCTACACTGGATGTCTCATGGTGTCAACTCAACCATATGAATTTTTCACTCATATATCTCCATACACACATATCCCCACATATCTCAGTTGAACTCCTACCCCCTATGATCATGTTTTTTCATAATTTTTACTACTTTTTATCATATTTTCACATCATAAACTGATATACATAGTATATACATTTCAATTAAAATCAATAACTATTTACAAATCAATTTTTTTCATGATAAAATCATTTATAATGTCAAATTATGCACAAAACTCTTCAAAACCACAACTTTATCATTTGTAATTACTTCTACACAATTATAATAGTTAATAAACACAATAAACTATATGGTTACCTCAATCCTTTATCACACAAAAAGGGTTACCGTGGCTCAATGTTAGCTCCACACGTTCTATACGCACGATATGGCTTGAGCAATATTCAATTTACACCAATAAGTGACAATTGTTAATTATCATTCCAGATAACTCCGAATTCTCTAGGTTCTAAGTGTCTAAAATACTCAAATTCCTTTTCTAACAACATCAACCATTCTATTAAACATTCCAACATACCAAATTTGCTAATCAATGTCCTACATTATCTCAAAATCCTTAAATTATACTTGGGGTTCGTCCAAACCTTTACCAAAAATTTTCAATCACCATAAAACTCATAAACTTAGGGTTAGAAGCTTGATTTAACTCCCTAAGATCTTAAATAAACTAATGGGTTAGGTTGAAACCTAAGGAAACCGAAATCAAAGCCCCCATTACCTTAAATGTTCAGATTTTCACATAAAAGAGGGAGAAAAGGGAATGTACAATTTATCCAATAGTGATTCAAGCTCCAAATGCCTTCAAAGTAGCCTAGGGATCATGCCTTAGCAAACTATAAGCTCTCCTCCGTCGCTCTCTCGTTATCTCTCTTTTGTTTTTCAAGTTTGATTCCTGATCTGATAAGTGCTGATTTTGCACGTGCGTCGCAGTGCATTGACACGCCCACCGTGACACATGGCATAAAAAACCCCACAAAATTTTAAACTCCCTTCCGTGTCATGACCTGCTTGAACATCGACCTAGCCCTCTTCTAAGAGTATCCAAGGATCTAAAAATAATATTAGTCTCCATAATGCTTACTGAATCGATAATTTATCTAAATTGACCAGATTACCCTTAAAAACACTGATAATTACTAATAAGAAAACTTAGAATGTTACACAACTAGGGTCTTTTTTTTTACCTTTATTTGCATTTGAAGTGTACATGTTAAGAGTATTTGGGGAGTTGGCACTATTAGACCTACTTGTATTAAGATCAATTGTTGCAGAGTATTCCTCAAATAGGCAATACAAAGTGTCTCTTGCCTTGTTCTTCATGGACATATAAAGGTTGGGGTTCGGAAAAAGTTGATTAAACACATGGTTAATATAGGCAAGCTTGTATTAAGGATTGAGAATCATAGCAATAATCAACAAAGAGTTCAAATTATCTACTACCCCTAACACTTACCATACTTACTCTTCATGCTCAAAGGCATCTCCCTATGAAAAAGGTTATCAGTTTCAATATTTTCATCTAACAACTCCTGAATTAAAATAATTTGATGGAAGCATATATGTGCAGTAACTTTCAGCATGCTAAAAAATTACAAAGTGACATCATAAAACACCTTCAAGAATTTAAGAAAGAACTATGCTTTATTTCAAGCTTGTTTGTTTGGAGAGCCATTATGCTTAGGAGGAGCTTGCCTAGAGTAAGGAAAAGCATCCATGTTTTAAGCATCCATGTTTTCTTTAGGTCTGGTACCTTGCCTATAAATATAGGCATCCATGCTACCATCTAAACAAGTAAAGTCACACTGAGCATGATGCTTGAAACCTTTGTTGAAGTAGTTAACAAAATTTTCATCCTTATCCTCTAATCTTTCAAATGCCTTTTGAAACTTCAAAGTAATATCCAATATTAAATATGTGGAATTTCATCTATTGTTGACATCTAGGAAAACAATACTTTTTGTGTCCAACATTTTTAATTTACAAACATCTTTAAATCTTTACAAGTGTGCAGGAAATGAATGATCTATCTCATATTTTACATATTTAACACTTGATTTTTGGCATCAAATTGTGCATATTAGGGTTTATTTCTTGATTTTTAGTTGTCTTTTACATATTAATTTTATAGACCCTAATAATGCTATTTGATGATTGTGTTGATACTTTCATACCCTAATTAAGATTTTGGGCATTAATTCTCTTTTCTTTCCTTTTTAATTCTCTTTTTAGAATTTATTTAGTTTTGTATTTTTTATTTTCAGACTCTTGAGAAAGAAAATTTAGAATTAAGGAATAAAGACTAAGTCAACCTTATAGGAGAATTCAAGATCAAGAGAAGGCTTATTTGGCATCTTAACTCTAGAATTGAAGAGGTTGTGATACTGGCACCTAATTTTAGAAATCAATTGGAGGAACTAATTAAATAAAATATTAAGAGCATGTATGTGACTATTGTGTGTGATTCAAATCTGATTTCAAGAAGAATCATTGCATGACATCATCATAAGGCTTAAATGGAGCATGTGTTGCGTGACATAAGTGCTGACATTGTGAGCATAAGGTGGCAGCT